GGGAAGGGCATCAGCCTCTGAGACAGTGAGGTCTGAGTAAAGGCTTAGAGGAGGTGAGGCAGAGGCCACACTGGGATCCTCCGGTGGAGGGAGACTCAGAGCAAAGCCCGGGATGAGCATCCTTCACAACTAACAGGCAATTCTGCCCGACTTCTTCTAAACCATCAATTCTCTAGGATAAGAAGTTGGAGTTACCAGGTGGGAATTTTAATCAAATTACACATATTGCCCTCATATTGTGAGTCACCCATCCCCATCCCACAGTCCATTTGAAAAGCAATGGCATTATCAGCACATCATATTTACAAGGTGCAACTGAGCTACTGGAGAGCGAGAGAGCAAGAGAGCGAGAAGAATGGGAGGAGAAAATATTTTCTAAGGCTACCCGCTCTTAGGAACAGGACAGAGCAACAGCTTCAGTGTTCAGGATGTACCTAGCTTCCTGGGGAGACATCCCAGCAGCTGTGCTTCAGTTAAAGTCAGTGCCATCAACCCCACTTCCCACCATCTATCTCCATCTATCTCCCCAGACTGAGTCCCCTGGTGGCTGCTCTTGGCCTTGGGCATGTCTCCTTATCCTTCCTTGAATCCCTCCTCTGACACTTGCCCTGTCAAAGGGACAGTGTAAAGATCAAAGACTTAAGACTGGTTAAAACTCTCTAAAACGTTTAAGTGTTAGGTATTCTAAGGCGGGGGCTTAAAAGTCTGACAGGATGAATGTCCAACCACCACGTGGAAGAGCCTCCACAGAGGGCATCATGGTCTTGTGTTCATCCTGAATGCACCCTAACAGGGAGGTGTTTTCTCTGTGAAGACTCTCCACCAACCTTCACAACTTATGTAAACAAACAAAGCATTTTTTTCAATAGTACTTAGTATATCCATTATAACTCTTCTAGGTAATATTTCGGTAAAGAGCTGTCTGCATTCAAAATTTGGTCTCAACTATCTTCAACTTCCCATTGACTAGGCTGACTGTGATGCTGTTCTCTACTGAAAGTGCTCACTACTACAGGCAAGAACCAGCTACTTCTCAAAACATGCTTGCTCACCAGATGTGTAGCCCTTGCTAAAATATACGTTCCCAGGCCTCCAGGACCCAGCAATCAGCATTGTGTTGGTTTCCCAAGTGATTTTTACATCAAATACAGGCACAGCAGATTAAACCATATCAAAAATGTAACTGAAGTTCTTATATATGGACCAAATATATTTATGGTATGGTAACTTGAAAACCCATTTGTTTACAGGCTGAATAATCACATTAATATTCCTAGCAGCTGTAGAAGGAAAAGAAACTCAGATCCAATTTAAGAATTTGATTTCCCACCATCTCTACATCAACAGAACAATAAAGAAAACAGAAAAGAAAAGCCTCAGTAGAAAATACATTTTAGAGACCGAATATGGCGGTGGAGTAGGTGGAAGTTACACTCACTATACCCAGGACCAAACTAGAATTACGACTAAAATATTGAGCAATCAACCTGAATTACCACTTAAAAGCTAGCTGAACAGAAGTACTCTAACCAAGGGTCTACAGAAGAAGCCACATCAGACTGGTAGGAAGGGCAGAACCATGAAAAGAGCTGGCCCTGCTCCCACGGGCAATGGCCAAGACTCTGAAGGGATATCTCAGCTGCAAAGGTTCTACCTAAGGACCATGGGATCTTAACACCAAGCCAGGCTCCGCAGCCCTGAGCATCAAAGCTGGGAAGATGTGTCCACATAGCATATGACTGTGAAAATCAGCAGGGATTCTGTCTGCCAGGGAGAGACACCGACTTTAAAAAAAAAAAATACATCAGTAAAATTAAGAGCTGGTTCTTTGAAAATATAAACAAGATTGACAAACCTTCAACCAAGCTGAGAGAGAGAGAGAGAGAGAGAGAGAGAGAGAGAGAGAGAGAGAACCCAAAAAGTAAAATCAGAAATGAAAAAAGAAAACAACTGACAGCAAAGAAACACAAAGGATTATGAGAAAATATTATAAACAACTATATGCCAACAAATAGGACAACCTGCATGAAATAGATAAATTCCTAGAAACATACAATTTTCCAAATCTGAATCAGGAAGAATCAGAGAATCTGAATAGACAGACTATAACTAGTGAAATTGAAAAAGTAATCAAATACTCCCAACAAACAAAAGTCCTGGACTGCATGGCTTTACAGGTAAATTTTACCAAACATTCAAAGAGGAAATAACACCTATCCCTCTCAAACTATTCCAAAAAATCAAGAGGAGTAAAGACTCCCAAGCTCATTTTACAAGGCCAACATTATTCTAATTCCGAAACCAGATAAAGACACAACCAATAAAGAAAATTACAGTCCAATGTATACCAAAATTCTCAACAAGATATTAGCAAACCAGATTCAGCAATATATTAAAAAGACCACACACCATGATCAAGTGGGATTCATTCCAGGAATATAAGGTGGGTATAACATCCATAAATCAATAAATGTTACACATCACATAAACAAAACAAAGGATAAAAACTACATGATCATGTCAACAGATGCACAAAAAGCATTTGATGAAATCCAGTACCCACTTATGATAAAGTGAGAATAGAGGGAACATACCTCAACAAAGGCCATATATGACAAAACAAGAGCCAACATCATACTCAATGGGCAAAAACTACAAGCATTTCCCTTAAGGTCAGGAACAAGACAGGGATGTCCGCTTTCACCACTCTTATTCAACATAGTATCAGAAGTCCTAGCCACAGCAATCAGACAAGAAAAAGAAATTGAAGACATCCAAATTGGAAAGGAAGAAGCAAAACTGTCATTATTTGCAGATGACATGATACTGTATATAGAGAACCCTAAGGTTTCCACCAAAAAAAAAAAAAACCTACTAGAACTAATAAATTCCGTAAAGTAGGACACAAAATAAATATCCAGAAATCAGTTGCATTTCTATATACCAATAATGAACTATTAAAAAGGAAAACTAAAAAAAAAAAAAATCCCATTTACAATTGCATTAAAAAAACAAACAAACTAGGAATAACTTTAACCAAGGATGTAAAAGACCTGACTTGGAAAATTTCAAGACACTGAAGAAAGAAATTGAAGAAGATACAAATAAGTAGAAGCATAAACTGTGTTAACAGATAGTAAGAATTAACATCATTAAAAGGTGTGTTTTACCCAAACCAAAGTACAGATTCAACGCAATTCCTACCAAGATGTCAATGGCATATTTCACAGAACTAGAATATTCCAAAAATGTATATGGAAATACAAAAGACTCCAAATAGCCAAAGCAACCTTGAGAAAGAAGAACAAAGTTGGAGGAATCATGTTACCTGATATTGAACTATACTGCAAGGCCATAGTAATCAAAACAGCATGGTACTGGCATGAAAACAGACATACAGATCAAGGAAGCAAAACCCCACCTTTATGGTCAAGTAACCTTTGACAAAGGAGGCAAAAACATACAATGGGGTAAAGAGTCTATTCAATAAATGTTGTTGGGAAAACAGGACAGATATGTGCAAAATAAATGAAACTAGACCACCTTTTTACACCATACATAAGAATAAACTCAAAATGGATTAAAAACTTAAATGTTAGAACTAAAACCATAAAAATCCTAGAAGAAAATATGGGCAGTATTATCTTAGACATT